TGGGGTTTAATTAAGTGGACTCAGGTGATGTGAGCGACCGCCACACACACACACACACACACACACACACACACACACACACACACACACACACACACACACACACTTTAACAACACATGGTACTGCTGAGGTTGTTATCCCCGGGGGAGGAATTAACTAAGACGACAACAACTACAACAACTACATTATTAACAGCATTAACAACTATACAAAAATATCAACAACCACAACAACTCAAATCACAACCACATAAACGACTTTATTCAATCATACCAACAACAATAACAATCACAAGAACAATCACAACCACCACAACAACCACCACAACACCAGACAACCCCGGAAGGAGGTGAAACAAGTGCTACCTCAGCCACTTGTACTGACCCATATTGAAGTTTTGTTTACACACTGACCATACATACATACATACATCCTTGTATGGCTGCCTCACCTCACTCACCTCCCTCACCCTCCCTCACTCTCTCTCACCCTCATCTCCCTCACCTACCTCACCTTCCCTTACCTCCCTCACCTTCCCCAATATAACAAGATCACAACAACAATAATAACAATAATAATAATAAGAGCAACAACAACAATAACATCAACAATAACAAATACAACAATCAATATTGGTATCTATATCTGGTAATAAACAAAATCTTATCTAAAAACAAAAAAAAATATTTGAATTCCACCAAACACCATCTTGTCACGCCAAAGACTCGCCTCAGGTGTGACGGGCGCACCCAGGTAACTTCTGCGTAGTGAGTAGCGACAGACAGACAGACATCAAGGAAAACGCACATATTAGGGGAAAAATATGTCAATGGTGTAATTACTGTACTATGGCTGTATAATTAGTATCATTATATCATTATTAATCATCCTTATTAATGATTATTTCAAGTATTAAAATTATTATGTTGTTTATGTCGACGTAACCCAGGTTCACACGCACACACCTCTGGCCGGCCGTGACTTTCCCAGATCTTATTTCATGTTATTCTTTGTAATACTTTGTACTTTCTCTCATCGTTATACTTTATACTTTATCTAATACTTTATAATTTCTTTAATACTATATACTTTCTCTAATACTTTATACTTTTTCTAATACTTTATACTTTCCCTAATACTTTATACTTTCTCTAACACAACAAAATACCCAAATAATTGCTTTTAGCGATCTTAAACACAAAAAGTATAAATATATTTTTTATATTTTTGTAATAGATTGTATGCAAGACATCTATTGTAACGCAGAAATTATGTTACATATCTAAAAAATATCCTTATAACGAACTTATAGCCATATAATCCGTTAATTGGAGGGTTTCACATCTAACGGACATTCGATATAACGGAATTTCCTATTTATATAATCTGTTAAATCGAGGTTTCACTGAGAAGAAAAACTGAAGTGTTGCATATACTTTTCCGTCCGTCCGTTCGTCTATTACCGCAAGTGTCCGGGAATTTTTGTTCGTAACTGTACACCTTAAACGTTTATACGCAGTTACAATTAAGTACTTTGTTGTATTACTGTGCATATCCCCTGTCTAGTTCCTGTCTAATTCTAATATTCAAAATCATTAATTACTTTTCTTAATTTATTCTTCTAAGTAATGCATTAATTTATTCTGCATATTCGTTGTTTAATTTAGTGTTATTATATTGTATTTACTGTATTTTGTATTATAACTATTCTGTATTATAACCTCAGTATTAATTCTTTAGACCAATGTAGTAATGTTAATACGGGTGAGTAGAATAAATAACCACATATAAATTACTATAAGTATTAATAACATTTTCCGTAGATTTATAGATGAAAGTTGTAATTTTACTATTTTTTTTTAATATAAACGTTGAAGGTTTATTTTTCAGCGTTGAATCTAAACACACACATATATACTGTACACACACACACAACCATACATACCATACACGTACATACACATACATACACAACAAACCATTTAGAGTTCTACCGAGTTACGAGAGTCAGTAGGTGAAGGAAGACGTCCCGAGATATAAAAACAAAAGAAAACAGACACAAGGAATGAGAAAATTACAAGGCGGTGAAGGTGTGTGACCGTCAGCCCAACACACACACACACACACACACACACACACACACACACACACACACACACACACACACACACACACACACACACACACACACCAGCATCTACCCCTGTCATATCTGTCAGCGCTCTCTCTCTCTCTCTCTCTCTCTCTCTCTAGCCCAGCTGCTGTAGGTGAGTTCGTCTCCTGAAGGTGTCTGTATGTGTGTGCACGTCAAGGCCTCTTGAGCTCCCCCAGCACGGCCAAAAGTCATGCCCCTGGGAGGTAGGGGAGAATAGAGGGGAAGGAGGGAGGGGGGAGTAGGCACGTGCCTCTCTCACACCTCCCACCACGTTACCTTAACCTCCCCTACTACGTTATGCTTACTCCCCCCACCACGTTATGTAACCTCCCTACTACGTTACCTTAACCTCCCCCACCACGTTATGCTTCCCTACTACGTTACCTTAACCTCCCCACCACGTTGTAACCTCCCCCACCACGTTGCAGCAACCTGCCCCACCGTTACCTTAACCTCCCCACCACGTTACCTTAACCTACCCCACCGTTACCTTAACCTACCCCACCACGTTACCTTAACCTCCCTCCTCCTCAACATCAGAACTACCGCAACAAACGGCTCGCTTGGAGAGAGAGAAATGCTGCAGTGTAGAGTACCGGGGCTGAGGGCATAAGGGCACGGTGTTATGGTGCTAGTAGCGATAGATTGCCTTAGGCCTAGGTACAGCAGCTCCTGGGGGAACCCACACCAGGCTGGGGTGGGGTGCCGTCTCAGTAACACCCCACTCAAGAGTACGCCTCCTAACCCTCACATCGCCAAACATACAAGAGTGTAAACAATGACACCCGTTCCGTCGCATCAAATATAATTATGTTGTCCGTGGTGGCTGCTGCCTCCTTCAGACAGGGTTGAGGGGTAGTGTCAGGTGAAGTATGAGTGACCACCAGGTAGGCGTGGTTTAGTGCCCCGGTCCAGCGTGGTTTAGTGCCCCGGTCCAGCGTGGTTTAGTGCCCCGGTCCAGCGTGGTTTAGTGCCCCGGTCCAGGTCCAGTGCGTGGTTTAGTGCCCCGGTCCAGCGTGGTTTAGTGCCCCGGTCCAGCGTGGTTTAGTGCCCCGGTCCAGCGTGGTTTCCCCTGGACTGTGACTCACCCAGTTACTAGCTATACCAACACAAGGTAATACAGGGAGGGGAAGTTAGCCCATTTAATAACACTAAATTTCGCCAGTACGAACATTCACGAGCGCCTGGCGTCCCCCGCTACCCCACCAGGTGAAGATAAGTCCGCCATCAGGAGCAGTGAGCAGCACCTGACGCACCTCCAGCCAGCTCCTCTACCCAATAGTGACGTGTATAACTGAACAACACTCAGCCTACCTCCAACACCTGCAATCAACAGCCGCTGGTGCTCCGCCTCTTACCAGCAACAACGTTTTGTATAAGCTACACCAGACCAACGTTCGCCACCCTTCTACCTCCAGTGGCGTTCTTCTGTAGTAGGGGAACACCATTACAATACTGTACTCTAAATGTGTATTACTACGACTAATGCTAAACAGGCTGGCCAGAGTACACGAGTAGGCTGGCCAGAGTTCACGACCTCGTCTTAAAAATTCCCACGTTAATCCATTCCTTCACCTGATAACACAAGAACGCACCCAACAGGTCAATAAACCCAGGTAAATGGCGTTTGGACTTCCGGGGCGTGACTACAGTGCCTAGATACGTCCTTATAACCATATACAGCAGCAAGAAAATCTCCCGCGAATTTTTAAGAATTTTGCCCCCCCCTCCCTCCCCCTCCCCCTCTCCCCTGAGTCACTGTTACCACATCCTGTATGGCGACACACCCCACACGGTCTAACCTGGCAAGACTCACAAAGAGGAATATTTCTAATAGATCTTTCCTGTGAATATATCCCAGAATTTATCTTTCCCATCGAATATTTAAAACCGAAAAATTCTTGACTGGGAATATTCTAATTAAAAAATTCTTACATGAGGATATTCCAAGTAACTAATTCTTACCTAGGAATATTCCAAGACAATAAATTCTCACCAGAGTTTCCGAGAATTCTCAACAAGGTCACCGAGCGTCACGCCACAACCCAGGGGGAGAGGAGGGGGGTGAGGAGGGGGGTGAGGGAGTGAGAGTGGTGTCAGCTGGTCAAGAGTACGATTTTCATTTGTTTGTTTTCGTAGTTCAGGAGTCTGTCAGGAGCCGCTTCTCGTTAACGGTAGCCTTCTCTCTATGTCTCTCTCCTTTCGCTTTCTGTCTCTTCAACTTTATTTCTCTCTTTCTCTAAAACGTTTTCTCCAGAACTTTTCCTCTCTCTCTCTCTCTCTCTCTCATACATCAATAACTCCCCCCCTCTCCTCTCTCTCTCAAATTTCTCTCTATTTTTCTATCTCCCCCCTCCCCTTCCCTCACCCCTACACTACGTCGCAGTTCAGCTCTACCCCCCACCCCTCCCCCAAAAAAAAAAATGAAAATCTATTCGCCCACATCTGAGGTCAGGTTAGGTTAGGTTAATCCAGCATCACCCACACACACAATAACATCCACGTACAGTCACGAACAAAACTCCCTATACAGGCTTGAGTCTATGTAGTGCTCGTCTAACCTACAGATGGCGCTGATACCTTATATTGAGTTAGGTGAAGTTAGGGGTCAGGGTGTTCGTGTACTGTACGTATATATAATTATTTTCCTATTGGTTAACGTCTTTTGTAACCTGCAGCTGACTGATACAAGAGTAAACAAACATATTACAGGTAAGAATGAAATATCTGGTGTTGATTACCTTAACACCTGACACACACACACACTCTGACTATGGCGGCAGAGAGATGGTAAAGGTACAAGGTAAATTAAACACTAATACAACAATAATTCAACTAACTTACTTGTGAGTGAGATGACTGTAAGGAGTTCTCTGGTGGAAGGTCTTGGTAAGTACACACACACACACACACACACACTGGGTATAATCACAACCTTGTTAAAGTTTTGTGTCTCTCTCTTGATGCTTGAGGTACATTAGCCGGAAGAGGAGGTTGTGTGTCTTTGGTTTGTGACAACAGCTGACTCGATTATCTTATGAGATCAAGATTATCGTCGGCGGCAAAAAAATCGCTGCCGGGCTTAATAAATAATAAATAAATATAACGAATAACTTAATGAGATTCGAGTTAACGACTAGACGTAGGTAGCGTTGCGTTGCTTCTTGAGTGAGAACGTGATGGTGGTGGTGGTGGTGGCGTGGAGTGGTGGTGGTAGTATGTGTGGAGGTAGGTGGTGTTGGTAGTAGTAGTAGTAGCTAGCTGCAGGAGGCGGGCTGGCTAGTAGTGATGGTGGTAGTTGTGGTAGTAGTGATGGTGGAGGAACGCTGTTGGCGGGCGACCTCCGGGCACTGTGGCAACGCGACTGCTCCCGTGGAGGCGCTCTCACTGACTGACTGGCACCACCAACCCCGGCCCTCACCACCACCACCCAGACACACACCACCGGGGGAAGAGGCACTGAGGGGAGGCACCACTGAGGGTCGCTACCTACCCCCCCCCCCTCCCTCACTGTCTACCCCCGCTGAGTCACCCGCTAGCCACGACCTCCCCAGCCGACCCCTTCTCCCCTCACCATACCCTCCTCAGACCTCTCTCTACCAACCTCCTCCTACTCCTCCCTACTCCTATCGTCCCTATCTCTTCCTACCTGTCTTCCAATCTTCCCTACCTCCTACTCACTTTCCTCTCCCCCCTTCCCTATCTCGTCTTCCCTCCTTCCCATCCCCTCCTCCCATCAACCCTCTTCTACTCGGCGGTCTCAGTCAATCTCTGCCACTCCATACTCTTAAATGCCCATCACCTCTACCCCTTCACGACTGTCTCCTGAGGTGAGGGAGTAAGGGGCGTTAAGGGGCGGGGAGAAACTAAGAGAGGGATGGGAGAGAGGGAGAGGGGGAGGGAGAGAGAGAGGGAGGGAGAAACAGTAGGAGGCCCGGAAGGGTAGTGAGGATAGAAGTCTGGCATGTACAGTACAGTAAGTGCCACCATAATGCTCTACCTGATAACACGCTCTGCCACCACTACTGCCCCTCCTGCCACCACTCACTGCCTCCTGCCACCACTGCCCCTCCTGCCACCACTATTGCCCTCCTGCCACCACTACTGCCCTCCTGTCACCACTACTGCCCTCCTGCCACCATCACGTTATCCCAATCTTTTCCATCACGTTAACCCCCCCAATGTGATATCCCGAACGAGAGAGAGAGAGAGAGAGAGAGAGAGAGAGAGAGAGAGAGAGAGAGAGAACATTGCCATCACAAACTTCCTAGCGAGATCTTTCTCTCAACTACCGGTGGCTGACGTGACCTTACCTATGACCTCCACTGTTGCCAGATCCAGAAGTAAAAATCTCCATTGTTACCAGATCAATACGTAGAGACCTTCACTACTACCAGATCAAGACGTACAAATACCTCCTACCACAGTTACCAGATCAACACACACACACACAGAAACCTCCAATGTTACCAGATCAAAGCATACAGACACACCCCAACAGTTACCATATCAGAGCAACAACCTCTTCTTCCTACCGATGGATATAAGTTCAACAACGGTCATATTACGAACAGCTTGATATTACGAACGCCCTGAAGTGCTCCCGATCCCCAAGTCGTGTTACCTGGCGTTTACCTCTCACCTGTCTGGCCTCGTTAATTAATATGTGTCTACAGGTGTGACTCTCGATAACTTGTTGCTTGTGGGAGTCTCAATAGTGTGTGTGTGTGTGTGTGTGTGTGTGTGTGTGTGTGTGTGTGTGTGTGTGTGTGTGTGTGTGTGTGTTGTATCTATAGGCAGTTAGTCTCTATACAGGGTGGGCCAAAAAAAAATACATCGGTCCCATTCACAAGGCTGTAGAGACCCACCTGTGTGTCGATTATTTCTTGCCCACCCTGTATAATGATGTTTCTCTTGCCCACCCTGTATAATGCGGTCGTTATCGGGTCACTGAGTAACACATTCCTGTATGACTCTCGGGCTCCTACAATGTAATACAACAAATATACAGACAAGTGTGTATTACGTCATTACTATCACTAGACTAATGACGATACCTCTGTAGCTTTCGATGTAGTACAGGTGTAAAAGCTATAACCCCTACAACCACATCTACTACCCCTGCTAACTCCCCACACCTACTACCCCAGCTAACCAAGGGTCTTTATACTCTACAAAAACTGCGTCAGTGTTGCGTCTTGTCATCACACGTTGCGTCTTGAAACTCTTAATGATTTGTTCTTGTTTTTTTTTGCGTCTTGATGTTGCGTCATCCAATGCATCCTAGTTATGTCACGGTACTGAGTCATAAACACAGGCTTAATTATGTTTACCTGGTGAGTGTTTACCTGTGTGTGTGTGTGTGTGTGTGTGTGTGTGTGTGTGTGTGTGTGTGTGTGTGTGTGTGTGTGTGTGTGTGTGTGTGTGTGTGTGTGTGCTGTGAGGGACTAAACAGTACAGTGACTATGAGATAAAAGGACCTTATAGCTTAGCTTAGCTTAGGTTAGGTTTGGTTGGGTTAGGTTAGGTTTGGTTAGGTTTGGTTAGGTTGGGTTGGTTTGGGTGAGGTTGGGTTGGTTTGGGTGACGTTAGAGTTACGTTAGATTACGTTAGATTAGGTCAGTTGTATCTTACATTGTCCTTCATACTGTGACCAGACATCCAACCTTGTATTCAATTTTCAGTCACAAACTTTATTAATCATTTATCATCCACAGAGGCAGCTTTATACCTTCACCATCTAGAACAATCAGAAGTCAAGACGCCCCACAACAAAGACCTGACAATATTACACAAAGAACACGAACAAACGTCACGAGGATCACCTGTAATTAGTACTCACATTACCTTAAGCAGCAGCAGAAGGTGAAGGTGGAGGGGGGGGGGGAGAGGGTGAACCACTTAGCACTACCACATACCTGGAAGGAAAAAACATGAAGGTAAGACTTTGGTAAGACTTGTAAGACTTTGGTAAGACTTTGGTAAGACTTTTAAGACTTTGGTAAGACTTTGGTAAGACTTTTAAGACTTTGGTAAGACTTTTAAGACTTTGGTAAGACTTTTAAGACTTTGGTAAGACTTTGTGTTATCTCTGCAGGACTTAACCATAACAATAAAAGAAATATAATCAATAAAAAACAATGATGACATAGATAGATAGATAGATAGATAGATAGATAGATAGATAGATACATACGAGGTAGAAATGCATACGATATCAACAGTGGACAACGCGGATCAATGATAAGAGGTCAAAGTCCTCCTGGTGGTGGTGGTGATAATTTAATACATTACATTTAATTTTCTCCAGTATGTATTTCTGACTTTACGTAACATTAACCTAACCTAACCAAACCTAACCTAAAATTAACCTAATGTAACCAAATCTAACCTAACCTAACATAACCTAACCAAATCTAACGTAACCTAACATAATATAACCAAATCTAACGTAACCTAACCAAATCTAACCAAATCTAACGTAACCTAACAAAATCTAACAGAATCTAACGTAACCTAACAAAATCTAACCAAATCTAACGTAACCTAACAAAATCTAACCAAATCTAACGTAACCTAACCAAATCTAACCAAATCTAACGTAACCTAACAAAATCTAACCAAATTTAACGTAACCTAACAAAATCTAACCAAATCTAACGTAACCTAACCAAATCTAACGTAACCTAACATAAAATTACGTCGGTGTTTGATGCCATTACTCAAGGGGGAAGATTTAAAGGCACGCAATGGGAGAATTATGAAGGAGTAATGACAGTGTTGGCACCGTAATGAACGCCACAAGATGGACCATTTATTTAACATCCCTCTAAATTTATTACCATCCTAAGCCTTCCTCCATCACCCGGGCCGTGTGTCTCTGCTGGAGGAGGGGGAGGAGGGGAGGGGTGGGGTTATGGTCACTACTGTAAGCCATTAACTCCCTATCTCCCCCCCACCTAAACACTGTTAAATTTACACCTCAACGAAAACCTGAGGCTGTGTGTGGGGGGGGGGGTGGGAGGGAGGGGAGGGGGGGAGGGCATGGTATAAACACTCAAATGACGAGTTCTTTAATATTTCCGCTACAGGAAACACCGCTTGATTGGGTTCTGATCTCACCTGCTTGAAGTAATTGAAAAACTCGTCTCTCTTATAGTTCTTTCGTTAATGTATGTCTCTATGGCAAAATTAAGTTAGGTTAATTAATGAGAGGTGGTGGTTAAGCACTGTATTAAATTTTAGCATCTGTACCTGTATCTAATTCTGTATTTGTGTGTAGTTTCTGTACTCATCTTCTGAATTATCTTTTAAAAGTATTTTCTTCGTCATTTACATATTTTTTTCACCTGAACTTAAGATCAATTTCCTACACAGGTAAAATAATGTAACACTCAGCTTCTCTACCTGTGTTTTACCTGGCCATAAAAACTCATTAACAAACTCATTAACACAGGGATAATCTTTCCCCTAATCACTTTACCATTAATCCTAGCTCCCCTTCACTAAATATTTACAAGAACATCTAAACACAGATTATTCTTCCTAACCATCCTATACCTGACTATCTGTGTACTACCTGAACCATCTCACGGGACTTCCTCAGGTTGGCGGCCTGCAGAACCACGTTGCACAAAGATGACATTTCAAGAGTTATATTTAGCGTCCTGAAAACGGCTATACATTATCGATACAAGCTGTGATTCTCCAGTGGTTCCTTCAGGGGGTCGTACACAAGACCGGGAAGGGGTGATGTTATTTACACTGTATAAATAAGATTGATTATATTATCTGTAACAAGACTTAAAATTTGGGTGTAAATAAATGTATGGGTGGGTTGGTAGGTGTGTGGGGTGGTGTGTGTGGGGGTAGTAGATGTGTGTGTGGGGGTGGTGTGTGTGGGGTGGTGTGTGTGTTAAAACTTCCAATGACTGTGTTCGACTTCCTAATTGTATGTGTTAACTTATTCAATCTCAGACGTTGTTTTTAAAGGTACTTGGGGCTAAATTTGTCGACATTTTGAGGAAAGTATACGAGCTTGACATTGTATACTCTGGATTATAAATGGCGATGGTTGTCAGGCATTTATCAGATATGTTTCGTCTCTCGTCAACTCATGTGTGTAATTATAATGTCACTTTTTTTTTTTTATCTGTGTCACCGAAATGTTAACTTAGCGAGATATATTTATTTTTTGTTCCAGGATGTACACGTGTAGCATATAAACCACTGACACGTAGCTCTCGTGACGTAGAATCTCCTCCCTCCTCCTCCTCCCCCTAACTGGAACGCTTCAACTACGGAACAAAGACATCGGGTCAAAACACAAGTTCCCTAAAGTACACCTGAAACTATTCCGGATTGGGTTGAGAATTACACCAATTTTATACTGTATTTA